ACGATCTAGGTTGCTTTGGAGTAACATACATTTTTAGCTAAAGCTCGACGATTATTTTTGATTCGATTAGATTATATAAGATTTTAAACCTGTGGGACAAGTTCTTGCACTCTAAAACATTATGGTGCGGCTGGTTGACAATAGTTTAAGGAAAACTGGCTTCGTTACACTAAAGAAAACCGTTTTCATCGAGGATTTTGTTGCGCTGTGGAAGAAAACTTGTTGAGTCCAAAACTGATTTATCATTACTCTCTCTAGTTTTTTCTACAAACGGCTAAGGCATAGCACTCTTTGGCAGGCCATTGGTACGGAGCCCATTAAATTATAAATATAATAAAAACATAAAATAATTATTAGACCTTAGCATGGAGTTACGTTCCTTCGTCCAGGAAATGAGAATGGCGATGTTGCATGTGTGAGGAATTTGCATTTGACCATTGATTCTTATGTAAAAGTTCGCGAGAAACACGATGGTGCCACTGGTTTTTTCTGAAATCAACTCCCAAGCTCAAAAAAAGCTCTCAAGTTGAGGCCAGAATGGAGGGGATATCCCACGCTATCCTGAGAGTCCATCTCTACATCAAGACAAACTCTTTATGCAAAGATAGGAAGCAAATACATTAGCAGTGATGCCGTGTTTTCACTTTTAGAGTCCCCAAATAAAGTGGCAGCCCTATCAATGTATTTTCTCCCCATCTTTGCATGATGGAGAGTTGGTTTTGATGTAGAGGTGGACTCTCAGGATAGCGTGAGATATTCCCTCCATTTCGGCCTCAACTTGAGAGCTTTTTTGAGCTTGGGAGTTGATGTCAGAGAAAACCAGTGGCACCATTGTGTTTCTCGCGAACTTTTACATAAAAATCAACAGTCAAATCGCAAATTCCTCACACGTGCAACATTTCCATTATCTTAAAATTTCAAGCGAACATTTTCATAACTCTCTTTTTAAATGAACATTTTTACTGGAGGAAATTTGGCAACCTTCGAATGTTCATACATCGTTTTTCTGGGCACGGTATACGCAGTATGGACCAAACAAGCCTTCTTATCTTATCGGTTCGCAGACTCAAAATTGCCTACCCCCCTTCCTCCCCCCCCCCTCGGACGGTGAAAGGCGAAAGGGCGTCGCGAGCGGGAAAGCGGAAGCGGTTTCGGCGGAGTCGGTTTTCCTGTCTCGGGAGGAAAGCGGGGACCCCGGGCCCCGGCTGGCGAGGCGCTGGGCGTAAGTAGGTCATAAAGGAGGCAAGGTCAATATTCCGATACAAACATTTACATTCGAAACGGGAAACGGGACGGGTGGATCTGGCTCTCGACACTGGACGCACAAGTGTGCGCGAGCCGCCGCCGCGTCTTCGTCACTCGCCGTCCGTTGCCGGCTCCCGCAATGTTGCCGGGTCGTCGGGAATAACTCGCATTCCATCGCTTTCGTTATGACGTCATTTTGGTTTCAGCCAAAAATAACCACTGCGGAGCTGAAAATTGAAATTGATGGACAAAGCGATAGGTAAAGATGACACAGGGCGTATGGAGCGACCCTATTGGTTGAAATGGTTGGATCTCAGGGTGGCATTAAACGTAAGAAAGAAATTTCATGAAATTTTACGAGACTGAAATATTTCATATTTTTCAAGGGCTAGAGTATGCAATCCTCAAACACACAAAACTAGAAGAAAGTACAATTTTTACATTTTGCGAAACATGAAAAGGAACCGGTATTTTTCAATGTCGTTCTTAAATTTCTGAAATTTCACGAGATATTTCACGTGAAATGTCAAGGTTTTATTTTTCATGAAATTTTGCCACCCGCCTGTGATTACTATAGACTAAGGGAGAAAAGAATGGACTAAGTTTAGGGCCTCTTGTGGGTTGCCCGTAGGTAGTCTATTTTCTACCTCTTTTGTCCATTGCGACCACCCAGTTCCGCACCAATGGGATCCCTCCGTATCCCTTTTTTCTTCTTTGTCTATAGCTACTTTGTCAAAATTTAACGCAAAACACAATGGACACTTAACAAATTTCCAAATTCAAAAATAATTTTTCCCACTCATGAGTTGAAGTCTCCAAGATTGTGGATTTAATTTGTGATCAGAGGATATTCTGAGGTTAAACTGGTATGAAGATGCGACAAAATGACAATGGCCACAAAGTGCGAAACCACGTATCTCCTTTTGCGACGTTGCATACTTCCTGTCATACTTACTTTATTTTTTCGTGGGAAAGTTAGTTCACGTAATTCCTCGAAAACTGCTTTAATTTTTCCTCTCTGTGAGCGGAATATTCTAAATGAATTTCAAGCTATAAAGTTGGCTTGGTCATCTTCAAGAACATAACATTAAAGCAGAAAATGTGAAACGTTGCGATAGATATACGTAGTCTTGCACTTTTAGGCTATTGATATGTTCCCTCGGCAAAATTTCAGGATTGCACAGGATTTGCCCTTAACAAGTTCCGAATCCCGAAATTATTTTTTCCTACTCGTGCGTTGAAGTCTCCAGGATTGTGGGTTTCATTTCAGATCAAAGAGTATCCTCAGTCGAACTGATATTAAAGACCGCAAGATAAGTCCATCCGTTAAAATTTCACGCAGAGTACGAAGAATACTTCACCAAGTTCAAATTTCGAGATTGTTTTTTCCTATCCGTGCGTTAAAGTCTCCAAGATTGCGGATTTCATTTCGGATCAGAGAAAATCCTCAATTGAACTAAAATTAGGTACCATACATGTTTCTCTATCAAAAATTGTCACTGTCACAAAACGAACGTAAAAATCGATCGAATTGAAATTGTTTTCTAGGTTTCTCATTCAGGTCTTATTTTTGTGGAAACGGTGCGTTCCTTTGCGTAAGGGTCGTAATTTTGCAAATGCCTCACAGACTATTTTTAGATCGGTAACAAAGAAGCGATTCATTCGAGTGCCAAGATTCTAGGTCTAATATTGAATGGTAGTATTTTTACCAAACGTATCTATGTGCATTCAGACATGAGCCCTGAGACCCGTAAGAAAAATATATAACAGGGCTCATATTATGATGGTCATAGTTTCGTTTGATAGAAATACATCCAAATGTCTAAAAAGGAACGATTAATTAAATCTAACAGCACCGGGTCACTGAACTCACGTTTTTAGCCAAGATAGATTATTTATTAGCCTTTTCCTCGTGCCTTTCATTTTCCTGGGTGTCGTTAAAATTTTCACAACACTTGCGAAACGTGTACTAAAACTAAATCTTCCGTTATGCTGCCAGTCTGAAGAGGAACACTACATACAATTGCCATTTTGATTACAACCAAGAGTGGTATAAAAAAGAAGCGGGTTGGATGAATAATCTGTTGCATTAGTAGACTGACAAGGTAGACACCGTCCTCGAGTAAAAACACAAACAAGCTTTTCAAACCAATGATTTTTCTGAGGTTAAGCGGGAAAATGGAAGATGTTGAAAGAAAAATGAGTGGAAAAGTAACCTATCAACAGTTTCCACTCAGTTGAGAGAAAACTTCGTATGAACATTTCTAGGTTGTCAACTTTCTTCTGATGAATTGTGTGTTTTTCTAGAAAGCTTCAGATTTTTGTCCGTTGAAAGTTTCAAAATATTTCGCTCGCAATTGAATGTCTTATCTGGCGATTTTCTGAAAAAAATTGATAATTCCAATTCGAAATACTTATTTATCAGTGGGAATTCGGCAACATTCGAATGCTCATACAGCGTGTTTCCTCTCCGAGACAGTATTAATAAAAAAATAGCAATTCTCACGATCACAACATCTCTCACCGATAATTCGACGTTCCCCAGGCGAAGGAACGTAACTCTATTCCAAGGTTGCAAAATCGACCCAAAAGTTCGATTTTCTGCAAGACTGTTCAGTGTCCATGTGCAGATTTAGTCGAAAAATTTGTCTGATTTTTGCATGAGATCAGAAAAAAATCCAGTGAAATTTCCAGTTAGAGAAACCCAGGATTCTCCTGGTAAAGTTGCAATTTACGAGGATTTGGTAACACTAATATGTAGTTAAGTTCTTTCGTGGGGAAGACAATGAATTCGGAGCAATGATCCTAAACTGCTGAATGAAGCAGACATCAATGAACGAGCGAAGAATCGGGAAGGAAATCATTCAAATGATGGAGATCGATCAGACGTCGTGTGTGAACGCATGAGCTCACTGATTGGATAATGACAATCAACAAATGATTCTCTTACAAATGTACGTATTTATGTCAAAAGAAACTATGTACGTGAAATGAAGCAAAAGAATGAAACTATGTAAGTAGAAAATGCGTGCTTCCTGATTCCTCTCGATTTAATTAATTTCATTTAGTTCCTTTGACATAAATACATCCCAGTGAGCTTTAAAAAAAAATCCACCAAGAATCTACTGCGCACTTGGTTTTCCTTCGAATCCGTGCATTTATAACCTCAAGGTTACATTTTCTACATGAATCCCCGATGACTAAGAAAACTAGACGATTAAAAGAGGATTAACACTTTTCTGAGATTTAGAAATTGAATTTCTAAAGTGGCAAAGGCAACGAACTCAAGATAACTGTCTTTTCCCCATTGATGATCCCGACGCAACAAGGCATTTTTCACTTACTTTGATTCTTATCTTAATTTGATGCACGTGGGCTTTTTCTTTTTTGCTAGTTGTGTGAATAACTTGAAAGTAAAAAATATCTAGTTTGTAAAAAGAAAAAAAAAGTACCCAGATGATTCTTGAATTACACGCAGCAAGGGTTAAATAAGGCCCTAGGAGAGTTGGGGGTCTCCTATTTAGTTTGAAGTCGCGCTGAGCGTGGTTTCATCACCCCCAAAAAAATATACCCATTTTTTTTTTTTTGGTCTATTTATTCTTTCATACTTGTCCGCTACACGCGATTTTTCTGTTGCTCAAGACTTTACACTTATTCACTTCTTTTCCGTTTGATTTTAATCATTGTCATTTTATTTCAAATGGCAAGAGATTTCGTTCATTCTCTCACCGAACACATCGCAACTTTTCTCTTACCTTATTCTTCAAAAAACCGGAAAAATTTGGGTAATCCTCTTGATATCCTTCGATCGAACGAAAAACACGCCACGAGCACGAACTTCACTCCGCGTATCACATGACTAGGAACGCAACGTAAAAACACTTTTCCGTCTCATGATACGAAGTTTCGCGCACAGAAGGATCAAAAATTACCGAAAAAAATATCAACAGGAAAACATTTCACTGCACACAAACGAAAAAAATTACAAACGTATCCCGGTAAGAAAAAAATTAAATAACAACGATTAAAGTGAAAAAAAAATCGAAAAGGAAAAAAATACGATGGGTCGAAGGGGGATTTAAATATTTCTGGTCACCACCGAAAATCGCGGAGGGTGGAACTGTGGGGGCGCGGGCATCTTCCGGAAATTCTCTTCTGACGTTTATACAACGAGGGTTTAAAAACGAGGGTTATCCGAACGTGTGAGGAAAAGTTTGAAGGGGTGGGTTTTCCGCGGGTGTAGGGAAGACAGGGGTGGGTGAGGATTTTCGCGAGGGTGGAAGGACTTATCGGATGGGAGGCCGGGCGGATCCAGGAAGTGGTGTCCTTCAGCCGCTCGGTGGAGGCAACTGAGGTTGTCAGCTGATAACGCGCTCTGGATACGGGGCCTGGTCGGGCCGGTGGCGGCGGCGGCGGCGGTTGCGGTGCGGAGTCGGCGAAGGAAGGATGGAGGCATGGAACAGGGGAATGAACTTGGGTCTCGCTAGGAACCTGTCCGGCCGCGGCCGGAGTCGTCGATGGATGCCGCGCTACGGCTACGGCACGCCGTGGCCGCCCCCGGAGAGCGCAGCCCAGGCGCAGGCCCAGTCCGCACCATTGTTCCGGCGAGCCATCTCCGTCCTAACCGATAACCATCCGTCAGCACCAATCCGGACCCCCGTTGCCGCATTCAAGTCCAGTGGAATCCCTAGATTTTGGGAAATGCCCGAAATTTGCAGACTTTTTCGAATAGGTATCCCCCAAAAAAATCCGGTAATCTTGGCAGGAGAATGGCCGATAACCATCCGCCAGCACCAATCCGGACCCTCGTTGCCGTATAAAAGAACAGTGAAATCCTTAGATTTTGTGAAATGCCCATAATTTGCAGACTTTTTCGAATTGGCATCCCCCCAAAAAATCCGCTAATCCTGACAGGAGAAGAATATCCGATGGCGTACTGACTTTGACAATGCTGTACATTGGGGATACTGATTTTTTTAAATATGCCCTAGAAATTCTTAGATTTTGCACTAATCGTCTAACCCAAGTCCGGACCCCCGTTGCCGCATTCAAGTCCAGTGAAATCCCTAGATTTCGTGAAATGCCCAAAATTTACAGTCTTTGTGGAATACCCCCAATGTATCCGCTAATCTTGTCAGAAGAAGAATGGCCGACGACATACTGACTTTGAAAATGCAGTATTGGGGTACATCCTCGAAATCCTTAGATGTAAGTTCGGACCCCCATTGCCGTAAGCAAGTCCAATGAAATCCTTAAATTTTGTGATATGCCCAAAATTTGCAGATTTTTTCGAATATCCCCCAAAAAATCCGGTAATCAAGGCAGCGGGCTGATTGTTGAAATTTATAGACAAAGCTGCTGACAAAGAAGACATGAGGACAAATTGATGGACGAACTTTAGGGTCTCTCGTGGGTTGACATTAGTTTGTCTATCACTTACGTCCTTTGTCCATCGCAACCACCCACTTACACCAATAGGATCCATCCATATCAGTTTTGTCTTCTTGGTTTATCGCTTTGTCTATCAATATTTCAACAATCAGCCCGCAGGAGAAGAATGGCCAATGACGTACTGACTAAAAATGCAATATATTGGAGATCTTGATTTTTTTTTTTTAATATGCCTCAGAACTCCTCAGATTTTGCGAAAAAATTTCGCAGATCTTGGACAATGAATGGATTGGGATCTTCCTGTCAGGTAACGTGGTCTTCCAGTGCCGTACCGAAAAGCATGGCACTGATCCGAGATGGAATCTCTGGATTTCGTGATAATATCCAAATCTCCTTAAAAATCCGCAGATCTTAAACAAAATAGAATGACCCATTTTATGTTGACTGAGATGATGGTATATTGGGTTCCCATGGGTGAGGAACGCAGCTTTGCGGTCTGTCAGTCAACCCTCTGACATAAGGGCTTATTCGCCCGTTGGTGGTACTTCTCGACTGCCTAAAAGAACTATTTCAGGTGTATATATCTTATACGATTTATTCTAGAGACGACGTATCTATGGAGGGATAGAAGAAAAAAAAAAAAGAAAAAAAAAAACTTTTTAAGTTTGACTATGGACATAAAATGAGAGGTAAATCCACATAATTATCGGCCAAGATTAGGGGCAAATAAGGGACACACGCCACGCACTTATGTCTTTCCCCTAAAGCCTCTCTTGACCCGTCCCGTGAAAAGCCCCTTGATTTATGTGCGATAACTATTCAAACGCGGCTGCTATCCGGTTGCATACCTACCATTATGAAGGCAATTTCTTTTCTAGTGTTATGTCGGGCAAAGTCCCGGTGTAGTCAAATTTATCTTCATCTTTGGTATGTTTTTGATTAAAGAAATTTTTCTTAAATTTTAATCTTCCAAATTATGCACACTCTGAACAAAATATTAAAGTCTCCTTTTAACTGAGGCTCTAATTTGATTAAGATCCAAAAAATGACCCTTAGAAGGATAGAATTTCGATCAGTAAACAGTTGGTAAAAAATTACCGAAAAAGTACTCACAAAATAAGACATCAATACTATACATTAATATTCCTTTGAGCCTCTACATCGTAATCCTGACTCAATTTTCAAAGAATGCTAGACAAATTTCAGCAAATATTGGATAAGTACCACTACAACAGATTAAGCATTTTATTTCTACCGATGGCTTACTATTTGGCACTTCATTGAACCAATAAATCCAAGCATTGAAAGCAAATGAAGACCTGATGCATGGCATAAATATTTTGATCTCGACTGATACTGTATCACTTTTCAGATCTGTTTAAGCCAGATATTCACAAACTGCTTCCCGATGAAGTGAAATCCAACCACGCACATGATGCAGTGATTTAATTCGGACTCCTTTCATTCCTACGAGAACTCATCCCTATCTCTGTTTGGGCTCTGAAAAGCACATAGCTATACGGAATCTAAGTCTCATCTTGACGTTCAGTTACGTTCTCTCGTCGGCGGAATGACGCATTATCATTAAGCTACGTATCGATCTCGCAAAGAGGGCCTGGTAGGGGAGGGGGGGAGGATAATACGGCGCATCGTCATACGAATTAGCTTGGTCGGATAAAATGCTGGCTAACGGCATATTCGGTTGTGGCCACTCTGGTTAATCCTAATTATTAATTGGCAGCGATTATCAACGTTGCCAACTTAGACCGAGCGAGCGATGATAGAGACCTCGTGCCAAGAGTTTGTTAGAAATAGAAGGATGTCAGAGATAGAAGGATTTCAGAGATAGAAGGATGTCAGAGATAGAAGGATCTTATAGTTTGTTATCAATTGTTACCATCAATGAAATCTGTTACCTTGTTTGAAATTTAAATTATGACCTTTGTGATATCGATTTTTTGACTCTGACGATGACCGTTTGCTTCGAAAAGCTTCGGTCTAAGTTTGTTAATAAAATGTAAGTTTTTTAAAGAAATTTTACATTATTTCTAGCACTCGGCTACACTCCAAATTCCAATATATTCAGTGCTACTACCTTCAGACATTGCATTACAATGTTCGCTGATTTTGAGAAATAGAAACTGGTTAAAAACGTGTTAAAGTAGAGATTTTATATGAGGAGAGTACGGACATATTGAAATATGGAGCCCAAAAGGGTAGCCAACCGTCTAACATAAAAAAAACCTTCATATTCCGATGAATAGAGAATTTGCAGGTGTCTGAAATTTGATAGATTCCGTGTTTAAGTGAAAACTACTGAGAGAACCGAACACGATGATACCCTTGGTTCATGAATTGAACAATTATTGGAGAAGATATTACAAAATGATCTAATCTTCTGAAAAACGTGAGTTTAAATGGGAAATGCCGCCAGATGACGTCACTAGGCGGTGCATTTTCTCACTTTTAAATCTATTTTTCTCCTATGCCCCATATCATAAAAAAATAAAAAATACTGTGAAATCAGCTCTTCAAGCACTTTCAGATGAAGCAATAAAAAACTTGAATGCAAATTCTCCATGGAGTTCGCAGGTTTGCTGCCTGAGGCTCTAAAAGCTCCATTGCCTAACCTCAAAATCACCGAATATTCGGACACGAGAACATTTACAGGAACTCAATGTCTAAGTACATCGATTGCCAAAGTGCTAAACCACGTATCTCCATCGCAATATTTCCAACATTCCGCTCCTATTTTATTTTATTTTAATTTTTTTTCCTTTTCTATAGAGAAACAAGCCAACATTAGAGCTCGAAATTTATTCAGAATATTCCTCAAGCAGAGAAGAAAGATCACGAAAGTTTTCAAAAAATCACGTCGACTAGTTTCTCAAAGAAAAAATAAAGTATGATAGAAAGTCTGCAACGATGCGAACGGAGAGGCGTGGCTTCGTATTTTTGCCATTGATACATCGCAGGTTATCACTGGTTTTATATATAGCAGTATCGGCAGGTAGCTCTTCTATGAAACTTTGCCTATATAAGATCTTTCAGCCTTTAAAATGTGCCCATCAAGAGCTTTTAAGCTGACTTTGGGAAGAATGGTCTATTACAATCGGAAATTCAATTTACATTCTGCAACTTGTGTTGATTTCAGTCAAATTCAACTGAGACTTCGAAACTTGGTAATCATGAACAATTTTAATTTATGGGTGAAAATACTTGACACAGAGTTTGAAAATTCAAAGTCATTATATCTTTCGCGTATCGTGAATTGAACCTAACCTGCAACTAACAATAAGTCAACTTTATTTAGAGGACCATTTACAGGCAGCGAACATAATCGCCTTCAAAATGGAAAATATGCAACCCGATGACAGCCACGTCTAAATAGTTATCTCTGTCACAATGAAGGGGATTTTATAAGAACGTAAGTGCGTGAAACGTGTCTTCTGAAGGTGATACCTCACGTTTCATGTCTTCCCTTGAACTTTACAATAGAGTAAGCCGTGTTTGTTGGCACAAACCTTTATACCATCTAGTGAGCCTTTAAATTAACATTGTACAAGTGAAAACACTACGCATCTCGTTTTCTCTTCAAAATTTCACAAAGAGGCAAATCATGGAATCAACCTTACAGCAATATGTATGTATACGTTCACCATTTCCATAAGTTGAATGACAATGATGCGAATGACGTCATTCGTGTGGTCTACCTTAAATTTTATCCGTGCCAAAAATACCTGTTAAAATGTCATTT